GGAGTTTTTTTGTCACTTTCCGAAGCATTAGGTTGTCCATCCAGAATGACAGACCAATGATCAGATCCACTATGGCAAATGCTTATGCTCCTATGTTCTCTCTGTGCTGCCCAAAGTGGGCGAGCTAGCTTTCATTTAGCTATGGACATCCCCTGCTTTAAAAGAAAAAAAAAAAACCACACATTTGAATCACCTCAAACAAAACTCTTCCGCTTCACTTTGAGCGCAGTTTTTATTTCCTTTTCCTGATCAAATTAGAGTTTTAATTCAGGGGCAGCAGCCCAGGTTTCTCTGTGCTCATTCAAATATTTCCAGTAAACTGCAAAACATCTTTGTTTTGAGTTAAAAAATCTTTTCAAAATTTAAGCTAAACCACCGATCCTCCAAGCAGAAGGCTTTCCCCCTCACCTTGTTTTAATATCCTTAGAGGAGGGATCCCATAATACACTGGGCGAGACATCAGCAATAACTAAACCCAACAATGATTGAAGAAAAAAAGAAAAAAATCAAATTTTCAAGGCCCTGTAACAAGCCCTAAAGAATTCCAGACTCCCATTCGTAGATTTGCTCAGACTGGCAGTGTGAGACTGCCGAGCCAAATTAATAGTTGACAGTAGCTCACCCTGTGCCCAGAAAAAGTGCCCTTCTCACAATTCAGGAAATTAAACGGCTGTCTAATCCAAAGACATTCGTGTGCCTTTGAACATATTCTATTATTCGGACAGATTGATGCAAGATAATTTTTTTGGTATTATGTAACTGCATTTCCCTTTAAGTGTGAACTAGCTGGGGCTTTTTTCCTTTTACTGTTGTGTTTGGTTCCAATTCAGGTGATAGGAGACAGACAACTTATCAGAACAATTACAGAAGATAAGGAGATAGATCATTGGGTCCGTGGATTCAGGAAGTTTTAGCCCTATTTTGACCCTTCAGATGCAACTGTGCAAAGACATGTGAACATGACACCACATCCCTGTAATGCAGAGCAGATACTCATGCAATGCTTGTCACACATTTAAATGAAGTCCAAAGTTGCTGATGATATCTTCTTTCAGCAATGACAGCTCTGTATAAAGCTTTATCTTTTGGAAAGACTCTGACAAGTTTCTGCATCCAGAGTGCAAAATATCCCCTCTGTGATCCACAGCTGTGCAGCATCATTGTCCGTTCTCAAATCACATATGAAGAACTTCTGGGCAAAAACAGCCTAGTGCAGAGATTGTCACTCATAGTATATACACTCACACTGGGCAGATAGGGGAGATAAGTAGTCCCCTTGTTCTCCTGCATACGGTATCCACATCATGAGTTGTGGCATGAGGGAAGAGTAGCTAGAGCTGGCTGGAAAACAGATTTTCTGCCCCAGGAAAGGTTTCAAAACATCATCTCAAACTTTTTTTGGACTAGCCACCCTGAGTACAAATGCACCATACCTCAGGGGTAGATACTCAGGACTTGTACCATGCGACACTGCTGCGTGGGCAACCACAGCTGCACTATGATTTTCAGCATGCTATCTCAGATGAGAGCTAATGCAAGTATGGCTACATGAGCTGGGAATCGCATCCTCAGCTTGTAGCGTAGATGCAGCCAAAGAGTGAGCTTCGTCTTCTGGCCTTCCCTAAGAAAGGCTCATTTCTGGGCATCAGAGGAAGTATTCTTCATGATCAAAAGCTACCGCTAAATTTTTTGCCCCATATACTTCAGGTTTTGCTGTCATTGTGTGGTTTCTGCTAGGGATCGTTTCAGGCTGTGGGACTGCACCCCATGTGGAAGCAATGGCCCAATGACATTCTGGCAATAAGGGGCTTTTAAAAATATATATATATATATATATATAAGTGTGCTGTACAGTGAGTGGAACCAGTGTCACTAGACTAGCAATGCCAATGACAGTCATCTCAGCCAGGCAGCATTCCAACATGCATCAGGAGGGAATGAAAGATGGGGAGTTGATGACCACATGGAGGACAGACAGCAGCAGAGTTGGAGGGGGAGAGGAAGAGGATGAGGATGGGAGGGAGAAGACAGCACAGATCAGTTAGATGTTCCGGGCTAGACTGTGACTGGTCTTTGGGAGGGTTTACAGAGTGCAAACCAAAAGAGCTGCCTCTCCCCAGGAGCTTGGTGCAATGGCCTGTCACAGCCATAGTCCCGGAGCTCAGGAGAGCACAGTAGTGTGCACCCATGGGGTCACATGCACCAGCGGGAGCAGGTAGGGCAGTGAGAAAGCAGGGCTGGGTCCCAAGCTCAGAGGGAAAGGAGGTGCAGGGGTGGGGGGAAACAGGTTGCACAGTGCTTTTTGTGGAGAGATCCCTGCCATTGGTCTCAATGGTGCCACTGCTGCTCATCACTACTCCAAATAGAGGGACCCATGTCAGTCTCACAGAGACAGATCCTCGTTTCCTGTATTAGAAGCCAGGAGAGGGATTTTTGGGGAGTTGTTCTCCGCAAGGAATCGCTCATGGAAGGTTTTAGCTGGGGATGGTAGGGATGCCACCCATTTCTCCCACCTCAAGACCTGCCACCAAACCTGACAGATTCCATGGTGGCTACAGCCATCTGCACAGAGGCCCCGAGACTCAGCACCCATGCTAGTCAGTGGGTGCTGCCCCCATCCAGCTCCTGGGGGGGGGGGGGGGGGGGGAGGGAGACCATGCTACCAGGGTTGTTGCCATTAAGTAGTGAGGTAAGAAGCTGTTATTGTAAAGAAATCCAAACTGTGCTATTTTGACAATGCAGAAACCTGGAGATGCATGTGATCTCACTTCAAGGAGGTGGTTTCCTTTCTTTCCCTAGTTATGCTGCCATGCAGGTGTAGAAAATAAAGCCAAAAAGTACCCAGTTCTTTGACAACATACACCATATATCTTTTCTCTGGAGACTAACAGTTCTTAAATTCAGTTTTAAGTCAGGAATCACAGTGGGATAATGTTCAGTTGTTCTAACTCAAAGAAAAGATTGAAAGTGGCCTGGGACTTCACTTCCTGAGTAAGGGTGATAAAGTACTGAAAATTGCCCAGTCTCAAAAAAAACAAACAAACTCCACCCACCCAAAGGGTCTCTCTAAGGTAATCTAAGTCTCTAGTAGAGGCTGATGGTCAAAGCTGTGATATATATCAGTTTAGAATATATAAGGACTAGTAATTGGTTTTGGCCAATTGAAGGTTTACTGAAGTAAACTTTCTCGATACACATTTTCCTGTCAAAAAGCTTTATATAGTTCAATTCTTGTATTAAAGTTCCCTATGGATTTTTTCCATGTACTTAGTGCATAATGTGTTATATTACACATAACAATACACTTATTTTGTAACAGTCCTTCCTTCTGTGTCTGCTGTTTATGCACTGGATCCAGAGCCCATGTAAGTCAATTGATTGCCCCCACAACCCATCAACTTCAGTGTTCTTTGGATTAGGCCCAAAAAGGGATGGAAGTAGTCCAATACCATCACACTAAGAATTCACTTCTATAAGTCATAGAAGGGTAGTGGAAACCATTCTGAATCCTGATCACTACAGTGTGATCCTGCAAAATACTGAGCATGCTTTCCCTGAGCCAATACAGCACCCAAGAACACCTACTTACAATTAAGCAGGAGTAGTTCTATTGAAATTAACGAGACTACTCACATGCTTAAAGTTAAGCATGTGCTCAGAGCTTGAAGGATCAAGCCCTGTTTGTATGCATACCACTCTAAGCCACCACTCCATCACAGGCTTCTTTTGGGGTAGCTCCATACAACCCCTTACGCTGGACACGGAGCAAATATTACACACAAAATTGGGCAAAAATGTAGAATTGAAATGTTCCACTATCTGCAGCTCCCTGGTGTATAAAAACCTCTCTCCTCCCACTTCTAGCACATAAGATTTTTTTTTGAATATGTAACTGTAGCCTTGGAGAAAAATAAGAAGATCTTTGCACGCATGTACAATGTGTGGACAATTAAGGAAGTGGCAATAAGGGGGAAAGCGTTCCTCCTATAATCCAACTCTACCAAGGAAAGGAACAAGACCAAACCCATTTTTAAATGGATTTCCACTCTAGTGAGGAGAGTCAAATCTAAAATTAAACTCCCTCCTCATTGTAAAACAGCCCAAGGTGAAAGTTTCTAAAGAATCTCAACTTTCAGAAGATATCATTCCCAGCTTTCCCCATCATGCATTTAGGCATCAAGTTTTGTCAGGCAAGCCTTTCACTGCTAGATAACTAGCTCAAAAAGAGATTTGGAAAGAGTCATTAATTGCACCCACCAGGGCTATTCCTCCATCTGCTTAGGAGATAAATGACTACATTGAATAGAAAACTGAATTCCTTCCAGAATCTGGCTTCTTTCCATTGTGTGCAGGTAAGTTATCTGCCTTCAAGCTAGGGGAGTAACAAACTACACTCAGTTTTATTTATTGACCTGCACATTTATTTAAAAAAAAAAAAAACATACACACAGAGCTGGGCACCAGGCCAGCACTGTGGGAGTGAAGGGTCAGACCCTGGAGAGAGAGAAGTTAGCTACCTTGTGCCTGAGTTGGGCTCCCAGTACTTTGAGCGAGCATTTTGGCAGTGGCCAAAGACGTTACAAGAGGTGAAGGGAAATGGGGGTTTTGTTACTAAAGATCTACCAAAATAGGCTACCTTTCTGATTGTCCTCTCTGAAGTACACCAATGGTGGAACGAGTCACAAGGTGGCTGAAAGCAAATCCTACAAAGTGACAGCAGATTAACTGTGTCCTTTAGAAAAACATTACCGTCTCCCCAGCCAAGAGAGTAAGTTAACACCTCCACTGGCATTAGCACAGGAAAGATCAAGGTGACACCACAGAGAGTCTGTGTTCAGGAAGAAATTGCACTGATCTATTTAGAAGCTTTACTTAGCTAGAGCCACGGGGGGAGGGGGAAAGGCACATCAAACTTTAGAACATACTAGCCACTCCTAACCTTGCTAGGCGAGTGGGAGAGACTATACAAAGCAGAAGGTGCAAATAAAGTTACAACTCACCTTTTGAACTCCTGGGCTCAGATCCATTACAAGCCTCGTCCTTTCTTTCCCCCTTCCCTTTCGTCAAGGTGTCAGCTCTCTCGGTGCCCTACAGCAGGGTGCGACAGGCTGTACTCCTGGCAGCAGCCGGTGAACGACCTCTGTTTGTAAAGGGCTGTGGGCTAGAGTAGAGCTGGTTAACAAGGCTGCCGCTCAAGCCCTCTCCGCAGCCAGCCTGCCTGCGCGGGGCCTCTTTAATTGGAGGCTACAGCTCCCTCTAAAACGCTGTCAGCCAATCCGAGGCGGGGCTCCAACTTTTCCGTCCAATGCCGGAGTAAGACTCGATCCTCAGGTTCTTGCTCTCACTTTCACCCCTGCGGGGGCAGGGGGCGGAGGAGGCGGCACCCAGACCCAGCTGTTGAGAGTTTGCTGCACATCTGCCCCGCGCAATCGCAAGCAGGGAGGCTGGAGCCTGAATCACATCCCCCCCCTGTAGCCTTTTTCCTTTAAAGGAAGAAGGAGGGGAAGGGGAGGAGGAAAGCAACGATCTTGGGAAACCAACTCATTCACAGAATCACAGCAAAAGGGAGTGTGGGTGTTTAAACAAGAGAATCCAGGGCACTTTTAGTCCTTTAAATCTGGAAATTAAACCTGCTCTGCCCTCTCCTCCCTTCCTTCAATCTCACACTGCGCCCCCCCCCCCCACTTTGCAATAACCAAGGTGTTGATTTAAACCAGACTATTATCTTCCAAGCCAAGCTAATATTTTCTTGCACTGGGGTGTGTTTGAGGGAAGGGGGGCAGAACTGTGAGCTCTGAAAGGGTTGTAGGGTGATATATGATTTGTTAGAACCACAGTGCAAAGGCAAGTCATTAAAATATTTGACAGTGAATAGGCATCCTTCAAACAAAGACTTTTTTTTTTTTTAAAGCTGCCAGTGCCATAGGCTTTAGCACTGGGAAATGCTAGAAAGGTGGGGTCTCATAGGTCTTGAATCAGGCAGAAATGTGTTGGGTCAGTTTATCACAGTGGACAGAGATCAAATATATTAGAAGGGCAAGGGTCTAAAAACATGATTCCCTTGTAATTGTTTTGTTGGAGGGTGGGGGAAGCCCCAGTGCAAGATAGTAGAATAAACATGACATTTTGACATGAAACTGCAGGATCTTCCTTAACGCCCTCAACAAGGAGTTCATTCCTGCTCTTTCTTTTGCAGCGATTTAAACACAAAAGCCCCTTTGTCCAGGTGAAAGTCAAAGTGGATTTCATACACCTGTGTTTTCAGTTTCCTCACTTCACCCTTTTGCCCTGCTGTTTCCCATTTCCTAATTGGGGTCTAGCTCTAAGCTGCTGAAAAACACAGACAAAATGGGAAGTCCAGTCAAAGAGCAGGATCTAGTTACCTTGTTGTGTTCGGAAATAAAACAGGCATTTCAGCAGTGAAGAAAAATAACTAATCAGGGCTGAATGGTCTCCCTATTACATGTTCAAATGTATCTCGTGAAAAGTTTAAAAACAGCTAACTGATGGGTTGTGGGCAGCTGTTTCTAAACTTTTCACGAGATACATCTGAACATTTTTAGATTCATCTGGAATAGAAAAGGTATGGGAGAAAATCTGGACACACCTAAAAATCCCGTTACTTATAAAGCCCCCTCAAAGAGGCATTTTCAGACTAGAATGGCATAAGGATATTGTGTTTCAAGCTCATATGATGAAGGGTGGGCACACACACAGAGTCTGGGAAATGAGTTTACAAAGGCACTTTTCAAATCCATATGCAGGGAGCTTCCACCACAGGATCAGGAAATGGTGGGGCACTTTTAATGTTTCAGGGCTAAATTGACTTTGCAACATGGCTTGTGCATGGGGCGGCATGTAGCTGTGTCACCGCATTAGCGGCACAGAGAGATACAGCTCCCTCCCTGCTTCCCCCTTGCTGTAGAGGACTTGAGAGGTGGCTTGATGTGACAGTTCCCAGCAGCAGCCATGGTTGTGAGGCACCTCGCTATGACCTGCACTTAGTGTGAGGAAGCCTTGTCTGTGCCTGCCATGGGCCAGCTCCCTGACTCTACCTGCACCAGGTAACACAAGCACTCCCTCTAGGCATTACAGGCCCCGCTGTTACTCTGCAGGTTCGCAATAGGCACGCTCCAGCTCTCAAGCCCTCCGAGTGTCTCCCTGGAGGGTCCAGTCCCTCTTCCACTGGACACAGTATTCACAGATTCAGTGTTGCCACAGACACAGGACCGAATCCCAGCTTACCAGTTATACCTCAGACTATTGCTCCGTTTAACATACAGCCCTCAGATAGTGAAAATAAGTAAAAGTTTATTTAACAACGTACAGAGTCAAGTGATAGCAAGTAGACGTGTTGCAAACAAATGATTCCTTATCAAACAAAATAACACATAACATACATTCTAGAACCTAGACTTACTTTCACATCTTACAGAGCAATGCTTACCCAAGTGTTTTCAGCATTTTACAGCCAGGCTTGGCTGTGGTCTTCCATTCATGAGCCAAATCACCCTGCCAGCTTGCCTCCTTGGTGAAGATCCAGGGTGTCTGCTTGCACCCACAGAGAGATCAGAACAATTGTTGTCCTTATTCATGAACAGGAAGTCCCTTGCTGGTTGTTTTTTCCTGTATACTCCTTTCTTGTAGATTTCACAATCTCCTAATCAGCATCTGGCTCAGTGTGCAAATAGACATACATTGTGAGACACACAATATACAATGACCAGACAGAGATAGGTATCTGTTATTCCCAGCCTGAAAGAAACTTGTCTGAGACCTCTCCTCCTGGTTACCTGCTGTAAGAACATTATTTTCAGTATAGATATGTAACCCTTCTGCCCATCAGAGTTGGCAGCAACAAGGGCTGGGTTCAGTATCTAGGGGTTCCATTCCAATAACACAATGCAAAACCGGCAAGAGCTCATAGTAGAATCAAAACTATCTCTGATATTCCACCACGGAGAGAGGATGAGAAGGTACAATTGGCATGTAAGGCCCTCATCAGGGCCCATACCACCAAATATTAATACCCATCCCCAGCATCTCTCAATTCACTGGCTTTTGGAACCCATGACCCTTTCCTAGCGAGTGCTGCTTAGTTGATGGTGAGTCCCTCCATCATAACGAAAGGCCAAGTACAGTTCCAGTGTCCTTGATTCACATAATCAGGATAATAACAGTTTATTCTTCCTGCCCCAGTAACAGAGAAACTGGGGCTCCTATAGCAGCCAAAGTGACGATCTAGGCGGGGTGGATGTGCCTATGCAAATGAGATCAGCCCCTGAAGTTCTTTTCCATAACCCACCACGACTCGCCACTAGATGTCAGGGTAGAGCTCATCCTGATTCTGCTTACAGACATATAACTGCTTAAATGTCAGCTGGATGTACATTTCACAATTATGATGACCAGTGGGGTACTGCATGGATGGCAGGTGAACCCCCCTTTTTGGGGATGTCAGCCCCCTGGCCCGGCCCCTTACATCCAAGCCCCCCCTCCACCCGCCCACCAGAGCCCCAAGGTCCACCCTGCCCGCTGGAGCTGAGCCCCCGCTGGTTTCAGGGAAGAAGGTGAGCAAGGGTAGGGCCTCAGGATGGATCGTGGGTGAGGCCACAGCCTGGGTTAGGGGAGGCTCAACCTCCCCTGGCCTATGATACCCACTGCCAATGGACCACTGGCTCAGAGACTTTACATGCCAACCTTTAGTGAATTACTATACATATATCTGACCAAGAGTAAAATTTTATGCACCACTGTGTCCTCTGCCAGTTGACACTGAGAGGTTTATGGGTCACACTTGATCACTGTGGATAGATGCATACACATGACAAAGATATCTGAGAGGGAGGGGCTTTTCAGTCTTGTTGACAAAAACCATTTCAAAATCCACCAGCTGGAAGGTGAAGTTAGGCAAATTCAACCTTAAAATAAGATGCAATTTCCTAGCAGTGAGGTTAATCAAACACGGGGACAGTTTACCAGGGGAGTTGGTGGACTCACCACCACTTGGAGTCTTTAAAGTGAAATTAGATATTTTTCTAAAACAGTGGTTCTCAAACTTTTCCAGTCACACCCTCTGCCCCCTTCCCAGTAACAATCTGTCCATGCCCTTCCCCCTTCGACCCATTACTGCACAGCCAAGGCTTCCTTGGCAGTGGAGCTTGAGCTGAAGGTAGAGCTGGGGGTGGAATTGGGGGTGGCGGGATGAGTTGCAAGCTGGGGGTGGAGCTGGTCTGGGCGCAGAGAGGGAATGAAGGAAGAGCTGGTCTGGGAGTGGAGAGGGAGTGAGAGCGGAGCTGGCCCTGGAGGCAGAGCAGGACTGGGGGGCTGCATGGGATCGGAGGTGGAGCTGGTTTGAGGGAGGAGCAGAGCTGGAAGCTTGTCGCTACCTCCCTGCCTACAGGGGAGGCTGGCTGTGCCCTCACCGACTGCCCCCCAAATGTTCCATGTTATTGGGCTCAGTATAGGGGTACTGGGTAAAATTTAATTGCGTATGGTATACAGGACGTCACATTAGATCTAATGATCCCTTCTGCCCTTAGCCTCTCTCAAACTATGAAAAGGACAGAGGTAATAATTTGCTGCTAACCTACACCAGCAGCATGTTACAGCATCCCTCATGCTAGTTCAACTGCATTGGCCAGTGCAATGGTAGAGACAGACCCAAAGTGCCACTCAATTCCCTGCACGTCCCCAGTCACCTGTTCTGAGGGGGGAAAAGGCAAATGGGCATGCAGTACTCACTAACTCTTGTGCACTTGGGGCCAAAGGCTAGGAAGTTTGCACAGGAATGTAAGGAGGTGTTCTTACTTTCCTTTGCACACCTGCACAGACACACAGCTTAAATTAAAATATAACCTCTAATGAATATATTAGATGAGGTCAGAGGCCATATAGCTAAAGGCCACCACTTTTATGGTATCATTCAACTATCTGCAACATGAATTCCGACCAGGAAGTTAGTGTTTACTATAGCTAAGCACCATTCAGCATAAACTCCCACACATTTTATGTTATTCAGAGATTCCAAGGCCAGAAGTGACCACTGTGATCCTCTAATCTGCCGGCTATAGGACTTCCCCAGAATAATTCCTAGAGCAGTCATACTGCCAGTTTAGGTACCTGTGTTATCTTGTACACTCATCAAATAGGTACGACAGCTGAAAGGAAAAAAAATTAGAAAGATGGTGGTGTTAATGTTTTTAATTTGCATATCAATAAAAAGAGCATGTTGCAAATATGTTTAAAATTACTTTTTTCTTACAGCTATGTTGTTTTTATCATTTATTTACTATTTTTTTCTTTCTGTAGATTTAAACCATAATCAGGACACCCATATAGAAACCTAAGGTTTATTCCAATCTCTAACACTTTTGGTTAGCAACATCGGAAAGGAAAATAAAATCAGTTCT